TTCCGAAAGATATGAGAAGGTGCAGTATAGGAGTGCTCTGAATACGTGAAAGCAGATGGAGTGGAAGCGGATTGGAAATTCAATAATCTACTCCAGTCACCCAGACGACAAATACGAGCACACTATGGGACTGGCTATGATGATGTTACCAATAGCATCGAAAGCTCTTATGCAGTGGGTATTAGTTTCCTCAAGGATAATGACAGCAAGATTCAATTCAAAAGGTAGGATATTCATTCTTATCCATTGCTAACCTCCTACAAACAACTCAGGTCAAGGGAAGAAGGAAGAATTCTACAGACAACTGAAAACAGTGATGAACATGACCCAAGTGTCGACATCAAAATCCTAATCGGTGCTATGAACTCCAAACTGGGAGCGAATTATACAAGAAGTGGGGATTCATCATGAATCGAGAGGTATTCGGTAAAATGAATGAGAACGGCGAAGTCTTCTTAGATTTCTACGCCTTCAATGATATGTAGTGATTGGAGGCAACGTGTACGAGCACAAGGATATACACGAAACAACATGGGTTTCACCAGATAGATCCCAAAAATTAGGTAGAAATAGTCTTGGTCTCAAGGAAGTACAGTAGCTAAATATAAAAGTCATGTTTAATTATTTTCTAATTTTAGTATGCAACTTTCCATTATCATTAGGATTTCTAATTGTAATTTGTTTATGTTTCACTTTATTAGCTCAACAGTTAGCAGTCTAGATGAATAGTAATTTGAAAAAAAAAACAGTTTTGTTTACTTCCATTCAATAACGATTTCATGGCTAATTAGGCCAGTATGTAATTCATTTCAGTAGTCATTATTTTTCCTAATGGCATTATGTCAAAAAACTAGACTATGTATGTCAAATCATTTGGTAGATAATGACAATGAGTAGAATCCAGGATGTGTATTTTGCATCCTTTTTGAGACTCGCCAGCTGAATGCACCTGTGTTCCCAGTGAGTGGATGGTGTTTCTCCTGGAACTTGAACCTAGCAGTCACAGTTTCAAAGGCCATAGTGTTATCCACTGGGTCATGTGAGCGACCCCTTATACAACAGGTGTCAGTTATTATTTGTTGAGGTTATGCTCTATATTGTTGGAGAGACCGAACATTACAGTTCAGTATATAATCAGTCGATGCAAAATACAAGTAAGTAGTTTTCATATCATTAGGCTACGGTGACCAGTATGATTCTTAGAAATTATAAAAATTCTTCGTTTTTCTGTACTACATATGCATATATACTATATTTCTGCAGTTCCTTACACTGGGATTTATATATTGCTTAAATAGAGCATATGTACATTAATTGTTTCTATATAGCTAAAGTCAGAAGATCGTGATGACCTGGAAGTACCTATAAAGCGTATGAATTCAGCTAGTAATTATTACCATGATGATGAAACGTTAAAATTGGAAAATTTGGATGATGAAAATGCACAGAGCGATTCAACTGAATCCGTAGAGATTGAAGAGGTAAGTAATGTGTTTATCCTTTACGCTGAAATTTAATTTTAGACTATAAAAAACAAATATACATGGCCTGATTTCCTACTCATTGAACATAGTTACTTCCGTGTACCTGATATTGGTTCAGTCATTCGTTATCGTTCTACTAAACGTGTAACTAAACCCAAATCGAGAATTAAAGATGCTGAGTCTACAGAATTTTTCGCCAACAGTCATTTAACTTCAGCAGAAAATTTAAGAAAGCGTTCTTGGCATGCAGATAGTCCGGAGAACAATTGTGATACCAGTGATAATGATCCCAATGCTTATTCTTCTACATGGTTCAATATGTCGAAACGTTTGAATATGTCAGAATCTCTTGTAAAAGATGAAGAAGAACAACTTCAGGATTGTAAACCTTATCTTAAATCAGATAAGGTTTCAAGGGAAGAGAATAGAACACCAAAGAATGCTGAAACAAAGTCTAAGACCGTAAAAGTCCGTGGTTCACGTGAACTGGCTAGTCTTCTTGAACCAGTAGATAAATCAGAAATTCGTCGATTTGTAACCAACTCCCATGACACTGAAAAGGATGATATTCACAAACACTTATCAGGCGAACGGGTTGCTTCAAAATCACGGGTGCATTTCGAACCAAGGTCGGCATCTGAAGAAGATTATGTAAGTAAATTTAATGTCATCTGTTTAAAGAATATCAGTCCAACATTCTTAGATTAGATGTCATTTTTTTAAAAACAAGATAGTTAAATAATCTGGTGGATGGTGACTAGCAGCGAAATCCTGAATGTACGCTTCGTCCTATTTGGGATTCGTCATCGGGGTGTACATGCACTCCTCAGTGAGTGCTGGTGTTCCGCTCTAGCATTCGACATGTCAACAGAGGCGCGAAATTCCGATCCAATCAATCAACGGGAAAATTAAAATTGAATTAAAAATAATAGCTGACACCCGCCACACAAAAGGTGGCTCTCGGGGCCCAAGTGTTCTCGTGGATAACGCTTTAGCGTTTGAAATTATAGGTATTGGGTTTGAGCCTCAGTGTTGACACCAACACTCACCTGGAGGGAATGCAGGTACATCCAGCTGGTGACTAGTCGTAAATAGGACGAAATTCGCATTATGGATTCTTCTGTCAATCACCGTCCACTAAATCACTTCAAGTCAATCCTCAGAAGTCATTGAGTCGTCTGCATTGGGAACCGATATGTCAACGGAGGCCGAATGTTTCCATCCAATCGATCAACGGGAAAATAAAAATTCAAAAAAAATAATGAAATGCCTATAGTGTATCTTCTGTTAATACTAAGGTCCCCACCTGTCTTGTTGGTTACTGTGACAATTAGAAACTATGCTCTTCCGCACGGAATATCATACTTTTGTCTATCTGTGAACGTCTTGATCTTCAATATTTGTTCACTGCTTTTTTCTGAGAATACGAAATAATATTCCTTTGGAATTTTTTCTCATATCTAATCTAATTTAATTTGTTCAAGAACTCGTTGTGGGTACTTGATTGGACTACGCTGCTGAACTTTAGAACTATGTCAAAATTGTGCTAATAAGGCTGAAATTCTATCTTGGAGTAGTTGAGAAAGGCAAAATGTGCTTACATTATAAATAAATGAATGCTCAGCGTATTTGAGTGCTTTATTTTCGTTAGTGTGCTTCGTTTCGCTTATGTCGCTCTACATATTTTAGGAGATCTGTCTGTCAGTTACTAGTTAGCTTTTTCTTGTAAATCAATCATTGAATATACTAACTCTTGATATTTTTTATTCAGCAAGTGTAGTTTATTATCTCATAGAAACTTTAAGGTCGGCTTAAAGTACATTTTCTAAAATATTACCTAATATCTAATCGTTATTTTCTCAGTTTCTGATTTTATTATTAAAATTGAGTGTGTGCTTTGGCCCGATATTTTGAGAAAACCAACTTCGATTACTACTCACTAATATCACACATTTTATGTCTATACTATCTGTTGCCTATTTCGTATTGTATGCACGTCAGTATGAATCCGCTCCCTATTAGGTGTTTATAGAAATTGTGTAATCTCCTATTTATATATCCTTTTGTAGATACTAAGAAGCATTCTTCATCTGGGTATGGATGCAGAAGACCTTGGTTTCTTGTGTGAAGCTTACCAGATTTTGCTGAATAAGTGTCGTTCACCATCAGATACCGTTTCATATCCAGATTCTGAGCGAAATGACTTTCATATGAATACTGAAGTTACTGATCCTCATGTTGCCACCCTTGTAAATCTATCACATTGGATAGAACATCCTCCCACTCTCGTCCCAGACCCTATCACTGTAAAAAGCTACATTAATGATAATGGTCGACTTGTTACATCACATCATTTGTCATCAAGACGTCAGAAATCAGTACGGCAGCGGCACCACAATAAGGGCTCACGTTCTAAACATTCTGTATCTAAACAGTCTTCTGCTCGTCAACGATCCTTCGCAAGATCATCAGATTCAGATGATGTTTATTCTTCCTTATCCGATCACTCAGTTGGTCACTCCCCTGGTGAAGATAACGTGAATGATTTAGAAAACCGGTCAATTTGTAAAAAAGAAGGCTCTCAAAGCTACTCGACTTCAGTACCCCAACGCATTTCAAGACGCTCCTGGCCAAAGTTTGATGACCAAATAATTGCGGTGGCTAAATTTACTGCATCTTTGAATGATAGTGTTGATACCATCAAGGATAATGTTGATATCCATCTTGGTCCTGCAGCCTGCTTACCACCAATTCACTCATCCGGTAATTTTTTTCTTATCACTTTTACTATCGGTAAAATTCTTGTAAGTGTTTGCATTATGTATGCATATAAATTATTGCAAACTATTAATAATTTTCAATCTTCGAAAATACTCTATTTTAGTTAAATTTATAATCACAACCCTTACCCACTCAAACCGATGCAGTTATTTTGTTTATTCCTGTAGACTACATGACTTGTTTTCATAAATATAATCAAATGAAAGTTAAACTTGTGTATAAATAAAGACTTTGTGACAAATGTTATTGCTATTATTCTTAATTTCATCGTCCATAAATGATTCCAAACAATTCCAAAGCTACAGACGATATAGAGTCATCATACCTACTATGCTCTTATACATATCTCTAATAATCGCCATTGTCGTACAGTATTACGTGATGTGGAATATTACTCTACACTAGTGTGGTATCATTTATGCGCTCTTTGATTAGTTGTTATTCGCAGATAACTAGTACCCTAAGACAATTGAATTCACTATTTACTGCGGATGTGTGGAAAAATGATATTTATCCAGTTATAATTATTTCCTATTCAACAATACAATGAGTGAGACTACACTGATGTGGCTTTCTACTTACTTCAGAGCTTTCAACAGAATAAAATAGCGTCAATCAGTTGTTGCTGGAAAGTATTCACTCTGCACTATTCTATTAAGTGGCTTAGCTTCGTTTACTCATTAACATTTTAGTGTCTTGGAATCTGTATTATGATTAAACAATAAGTCCCCACTATTCAATTTTAAAAATTTCTCATTTATACATTAGGGTCTGCTCGAACACAAGGTTATTATAAAATGCCTGCTGAAGAAAGGTTTAGACGGCCTTGGTGTGTTGGTCGAAGTTTAATTGGTGAAGATGGTCGTCGTCGTCCAATTCCGCTGATGCCTGCCACAGTTCAAGCACAGCTTGGAGGAGATGCAGCATTACAAGGTAGGAACTTCATTTCTTTGTTACGTTTTTCTGTGCTGACCTACAAACAAACATGGTAAATTAGTGTAGGTCGATGTAAAGATGTGTGCATCAATACAAGTTGCCACATTTGAAAATAAGCACAAATAGAATGGAACATAAATGTAATGAAGATACAATTGACGGTCATGGTTGTACGGGAAAGTATAATAAAATAGCGGCTAGTCAGGATGTTTGGAGTCCTAAAGATGATAAAAAGTCATACCACTGTGAACAGCTTTGAATTATGTCAAAAAGATTCTGCAACCACTGATTCTCAGTATCTCGAAGAGCACAGCCAAGTGTGATTAGGACCAGCAGTCGATGACTGCATAGATTGGTGTAATGTTTCAGTTTGGTCAACAACATATCTATCTCAATGTAATCTTACTTCAGGAGACACTTCTCTTCGAGTGGGGTGACTCATACCCTTTCCAATTCCACACCTCAAGCAACGAAGACCTATAACCTAATTAACGGACATACCTTGTTTATATGATATTCTGCGTTTAATTTCAGTATTACGTAACATCTTGTTTCATCTAATGTAAGTAATTATTGAAGGTATTGAGAATCAAACCTCTAACTTTTCGTGTATTCTACTCTCAGTAGCTGTATGTTACAGATGTTTAGCAGGACAGATGGTACTGTTTCACCTCAGTACACACTGCTCTCGATGGGTAGTCGGAGATCATATAGGAGTCGAACATATCAAATAGTTGACTTTTTGTCTTTATCCGTGCCAAGACTTTTTTGTGGTAGATTGCATAAAGGCAAAATAACTTCACAAATACGTGAAGTGGTCAACACATTCGATTATCCAACATCCAGTCTTTAAATAGAAGTTCGTGAGTGTCTGTTAATTTATTGCGTTCCGTTAACTGTCTAATATAATGGAGGCATTTGCATTTTTCCAGACGTAAGAAGAGAATACCTCATGCGGTGACTGTTGATATGTATATTACCATAATAGCCACATAAAGCACTTGTGATGAGTTAGTCTTAGAAAGTGTCGTTATAAGTCCATCTTGTTCATTAGTGTACACCTATGTGAACTTCATCCTATGCTTTAATTGGCACACACGCTTGCTTAAAACTAACTGGAGTTGCAAAATTATCGCGTAGCATGCCTTTGTATGCCCCTGTTATCGTGTAAACCACCAAACCTTTAATATACAGGATTCGGTGGACAATTTATTGCTTGCAGCAATACCTGTATTTCTAATCAGTCTTTTGCAGTGACGGCGTTGTAAACAGGTGATAATATGCTGTTAGAAGTCATTTAAAACCAGCGTATTTATTGAGCGACGACTGACTGGTTCCAACGTAGAACTTTGCAAAGATATGCAGCAGTTCGAGTTGCCACACTCCATGTAGCACACAAAACAAGAGAAGAGAGTAAAGAGAGATAATTAACTGAGATGTGAGGCGAAGATAATAGTAATATGGTAGAACAACAGAATTTTTATTGGATATTATGAGTCACAAGGAGTGAATGCATCTGCGCCAGCCATTGAGAACGATTTGAGCCATATTACCAATTGTCTCCAGCCCTCATTGGTTCTTACCATCTCGACGACCGCAACCAAGAAGTCTGTTCAGACGCAAACTAACAAAAAGTCTTCGCAACGACCGTGAAGTTTTTTTTAAAAACTTTTATTGCTTTACGTTCCTAGTGGAACATAGGGCTCCAAGCTAAAGGCTTGAAGTTTCTGTAGCAGTGGTGATTATTTTTACAGGATGGGATTTCTGGCCTCATGCCCACTGTAAACAGTAGTGGACGCAAAATTGAAAGGGGTGGAAAGGGCATTGGTGATAGGTAACACCAGACAACTATTTAGACTTATCAGGGAAACAGTTGGTAAAAGGCAAATGATATGTGAAACAATCTATTTATTGAGCAATATGTGGAGAATCCACTGAAGATCTAAACATAATGATGGAAAGCTGCTTAAACCTAAACTGGCTCAAAATCTTGCAGAATAGTCGTTAGTTTCTCATCCCCTGGTTGATTTTACGAAATATTTCTTGAAACTAAAACAAGGCGAAAAATCAAGTCCTGGAAATTCACTTTAACAGGTGTTTCTAGTTAGTGGTGATATGTTATCAACTAGAATAACTAAGATACAAGGTAGTGTTTAGAATTTCGAAAGAGTTTTAACCTTTTATTAACATCCATAATTTATAGGAATTAAAACATATAATCATATGATAACCACAGGAGGATTTGCCTAGTTAATAGAGTGTCTAACCTAGAGGTGTCTAACGTCATACGAAAATCAATTGGATGCCAGGCTTGATGGCTAGACATTGATCAGATCTCCACCATTCGAATACATATGAAATATATGTATTTATCATAGACCGAAACCTTGCCATACTACTCAATTTGAATTTGATATTGGATAACGTCGATTTAAAGGTGTTATGAAAATGTCTGTTTCTGAAAGCGATGACATGAAAATATGCCTACACCAATCATGAACTACGCAACTAACTCATAAGGTCTTTTTTGAACTTACAACGACCAATGATGTTTACTAGGAATATTTAATGTTATTCATTCTTAGAATATTATAAACGCATAATAGAGATAAGTCCATATGACTTAGCAATCAAGTTGCTGTTAGGGAAACAGCTAGTTGACTCAAAGTGTGCGATAGTAGAAAGACTCATTTTAAATGAGAACAGTGACGGAATTCAGAGCAAAACTGTAAATATTTTTGAAGTCTGTTATTTCTTTAGTCAAATGTCGAACGACTATGTTATTAAAATGCCTTGCATCAACTTGTTTCGGGACCAGTAGGTTAACTTGTCGACTGTTTTGACATTTTGCATTCTGTCTCACAATCCCTAGTTAAGACGTCCATCTTCTAAATAATGTATTCTTTCCCGTAAAAAGGTGTAATTAGTTGATTGCTGTTTTCTCTAGCAAATCAGCAAATCACCATAAAGAGATTTGGCTCAGTGAAATTCTGATTACGCTAAACATAATCCAACACTTTCAAATATCACAAACTCAAATCTCATGTGGCTGATTTAATAGTGATATTAATAGAAGTTGTATATTTTTTATGTGTGGTATGTAATATGTCATTTTCGGTACTCTAAACCAATGATTAATTCTTTTTAAGACAAAAATACAGTCCGCTAAACATTTCAATATATTTGAACTGTCTTCTACTTATTAACTCCCCATACATTTCTTTTAGTTCATATCGTAATATCGAATTTCCGCTTCATTTATAAGCTGTATTTCTTATATTACAAACCATAAATGTATGCAGTTACATCTGTGAATAATTTAAGGATGAAAAAAGAAATCCAGTATGTACCTACTTGTAAAATGAACTGTTCTCAGTCTTGCCATATTTACTTCAAAGTGATACAGGAAGCTTGTAGTGTGCGATTAGTCTACGTATCAAATAACCATTGACACTTTGAAAATGTGTAAACTTACATGTCATCCAATTTTTCCAAGAATGCTTCATTGTTTTTGATACCTTGATGATAGCTGAAAGTAAATGACCATTGGAAGACTATACCGTAGACTAAACTACCCCAAACCTCTTACCCAAAGAAGTACTACAATTAAACTGAAATTCACTAATCTGTGAACTTGTAGGTTTTCTGGAGAAGGTATGCAGTTGTTAGTGTTCATTGTGTTTCTAATCTAATCCAAGAATCTGACGAGATTAGCAAATTAAGGAGAATCTGAATCGACCTTCACCTTCAACGTGACCGACTTGGTAGTACTATAGACCCTCATGCTGTAAGTGTGGTCAAGGTTGTCTACTACATGAAGGAAACGGTTCCAAGTATTTTCGTCCCAACTGATATTTAATAGGTTTTCTCATGATCATTTCTCTTCTATTATTGTAGTGCTCCCAGATTTTTATCTATTTCTGTTTCCCTCGAAGCGCACCCTGTCTCCGCTTTTGCACCGTATTTATTACCATCTTTCGAGGTTGCAGTATATGCCAGCATTGAGTATTGACTAAGATTAGAATGCTGTGGTGATGGCTGTCCGCGTTCTATTAATTTAATGACCAATACCTCAGTTTCTTCGACTTATCATATGCGTAATATGATGCGCGTATATCAGGCCTCCTTTAGTCATCTTAGATTTTGAACTGTAGCACACCCTTAATTTTCAGGTTATTTTACAGGGATTTTAGAGTTTGTTATCACTGCACTAGACATGTAATAATTTCATTCCCCAGCATCATACTGGACAAGCTAGTGGCTATAACTTTCTTATTAATGTAATTTGCTCCCAATTTTTAAGGCCGTTTATTCCATGGTTTGTTCTATATCTTGAATTACACTTGTTAACAACGCATATGTCCTTTAACTTACATGTTGTTTAGTTCCCTTTCTTACTAATCAAGGTGGGACTATTTTGAAGAACATACTGTTAAAGTAAATACATCTAAAAATCCTCTTATATTGTTTAGAAATGGTATTGATATTTTACACAGTCACATATTCAATATCATCAAACAACGGATTGAAGTAAATAAGATATTTGCAGGCATTGATTATAATAGTTCCTTAGTGAAATGAGTAAATAATAATACCTTTGTTGTTTTATATGCAGTATTTTTCAATGAATTCTTTGCCTTATGCCGATTTATATACTATCCACCTGGTTTTTTCATACGTTACACATTGCTATGCTTCCTAAGTCTGCATATAAGTTAGTTGGCCTTTCCAATTAAAGATTTATTTCTTTACTATGTTGTATGGTTTGTTTATGGGTGACAGACTGTACTATTTCTGAAATATTGATAGACCAATCAAATAATGTAACCTTCTGCAGACTATTGTTATTCTATTGGTCGTCATGTGTGTCCTTAACAAATAACCAATCATAATCTAAATATTTCAGTTAGTGCGTAGGCGAGCTAGTAACATATTCTTATACATTCTATAGAAGTCTGACTGTATCGATTTTACAGACAGAAAGAAAAATCAATTTTCAGTCTGTATCTCGTAGGTCACACAAGATTTGTCGTTTTTTTCGTTTTTCTAGCTAAATAAAATCGATGCAGTGTTTTTGTTTTTGTTTGTCTGGTAACGTGCATTATGTAGTTTGTTGTACTATGGCAGTCCTTGGATCACTGATAACTGTGAGTGAATAACTAACGGATACCACAAGAGGCTTTCATTACTCGTAACTGTAATAATTTCTGTCACCATGATAAGATTTTATACTACATGCTTCGAATTGTTACTAGTGCGGTTATTGGTGTAGTCTAGGTAACATAATCATCCTGTTCATTATCGTGGTTATTTTGTCAAGCTGCTTGTTGATAAGTTTCCTTTATTATTTTCTGGAATTCTTTTCGTAATTGTTCCAGTCTGTTTAGTGGGTACCTTAGATTGTATATTACACTTTAGTTTGCAGAGGGTAATTATGATAACTGTAATACTTTTCACTTAGTTTCCGTCTTCTTCTATAGGTTCTCACATGTTTAAACATAGTGACTTGTATCACCTGAATCGTTGCCACTTTTAGGTGTCTCTTGCAGATTTACCGCCTAAACTGATCGCCCAGATGTCCATACAAATTTTTTGAATAATAAATCCTCTCGAGTAATGCCATCGTATTAGATTATTGTGTGTATTTCCACAGCGTAAGGTGCAACGTAATATTTTTGTCTCTACTGAACTTTGAAAACCTCGAAATCTTCAGAAAAGTCTCGTAGAAAGCTAACATGAGCTCAAAGAATAAGAATATGAAGTGTGAAACGAATTAGTTTGATGTGCCTTTCGATTTATCATGATGCTGGTTCCTAATATCATCAGTGTTTGCATACAGCTCCTGATTTTCATGATATCAATACTCCCTTAACTCCGTTTTTCCAAGCTTCAAAACCTTTTATTGATAGCTGTTATTTTTAATCATTTTTCAAAATTTTTTACACATGTTAGAATTATTGAATTAACAGATAGCTGTTTTCCTTTATTTTGAATACATATGTCTAGCTTTCGGTGAGAATATTGAGGAAAGGCTAACTGAACAAGCATCTGAAGCTAAGAAAAAACAGTTAACACAGTTTCGAGAAGCCCGGTCTGTCCAACGTAGACTTTTGGCGGAATTTCAAGATATTGAAACAGGAGATCTATTGAAATTTAACCAGTTAAAGGTAACTCCCACTTTTTTATTCTATATTTTGTTTATGTTATACCTACAAATGCCTTTCGACAGATAACATACTGGTTAACTTGTAAAGTAAGATGCTATTTTCTGTAGTTTGTTGATTTAAATGTAGGATAATAATGGACACGTAGGATGTCTTCGAGATATGAACACTACAAATTCTGGTATTCTTCTTACTGGTAGCTTCAGCAAGATAATGCTCACTATGTCACGTTTTTCGGGATTGTTTGTTCCTCACATTTTTGATCCGTTCTGTTCTCTATCGCCAATTCATACAATTTGTGTGCCTTATTTTTTCTATTCGAGAAGGTTCGTTCTACCTCTGACCTTGGCTTGCTTTCTACAAATGCATACCCTGTTATGGCTATAAGGGAATGCTAATGTATTCTTAAATAGTTTCAGTGTTGATGGGATTATATGCCAGTAATTCCTCAGAAGTATTTTGATAAGAGCCAGTTTACGGGAATATATCTCTTGAAATATGTGACTGAATTGCGTCTCCGAGGTTCAAGATTCTTAAGAATTGAAAGGTTTCACTAAGTGAATCAAGTAGAAAATGTAAAGGTGTTCGAGTTATTTTTTTCTGGCCTTTCAAAAAGTTATAGAAGTGTAGGTGTTAGTGAAAACAAATGCAGTCACTTATGTTTAAATAAGTAACATTGTATACTGTGAAAGGGTAGTGGAGGCGTATAATTGCTTATATATAGTTGTAGTGTTTTAGACATATTTATTTTCTCATACTCTACCTGGGTGTTTATTTTATGTTCATATTATGTCATGTTTGTGTTGGGGAGACTAAGTGGTCGCGGGTTGGTTGGTGAGGATTATCTTTTGCGACTTTGCTCAGATCACATACCTGCACCAGCCTGTTTCGGGCTACCACAAATTACCGACTAAACCTTAGTAGTATCACCTGGAGTCTTCCCACCGTTACCTAAACCCGAAACCGAATAGATCATATCACTATCAGCTACTGAATTGAAGAGGTGCATACAGGACTGTCACTTCTCTGAGAGAAGTTGTCTGGATTCAAATCAGGTTTCAGTGTGCCATTTTTATCTTGCTATTTGGTAGTGATTGACATATTCTACAGATGTTAGCGTAAGTTAACTAGTAGTAACTGCTACAACTTCCAAGTATCAAATCCTACTAGACAAAAAAGGCTAACTGCTATGTCCCAGGTATTATTGACGAACACTGGTTGCACTTACATGATGCAATGAAACAATGCCAGCGTGATGACTGTGAAGTCTTGGGGTCAGAACATTTATTGAGATGGGATCAGTAGCTACATCTAACGATACTCGGAATTTGTCCCAGCTCATCCTAGATAGTGCATCAGCAAGCATGGTTTCAGTGGGAATGTCTGTGAGGTGGATGGTATGCTAATTGACAGCCTGAAAAGATTCGGGGCGCTTTGTAAAGCAGTCCGTATCGCCGCTATCCAACATTACTAATCACAGTTCTCCATGGTTGGTTAATAGCAGTATACCAAATATAGTGGAGATCCAAAAGGAATTCCAAGTATTAAATCACTGTTAGGTACTTAACTCAGGCAACTTACCCCTAGCTCTTCTTAAGAATATTGGCGAGTCTTGCCAAGTGACTGACTGGATTTTTCAGGGGAGTATGGGAAAGTGACAATGTGCCATCGGTGAAGAATAAAACTATTATCGTGTCTATTCCCGAAAATAACCTACGTAAATGCTTGTAGAAATCATAGCAGTGTTAGTCTGTTAATAGTTGCATCTAAAATAAAGACTGACGTCTTGTTCCTCAACCTGTATAAAATTCTGAAAGCCCAATACAGAAAATGTTCTAGTAGAATTAGAACATACAAACAGCTGTCACTGTTGATTTCAACTGACAGTGGAGTGGAATGAAGTTACTGTCTTTCGCCATTTCCCCATTCACTTTGCCATTGTTGACGTTCTGTAGACACCTCCGAAGGATGTGTGTGGTGGTAATGTAGATATACTGCCTGGAGGAAAATTTCTGCAGAGGATATCACCTCATTGTATTATAACATTCAGACCGCTTAAATCGCACTAAATCGGTTGATGGCCAGTGTCTATGTGCGTGGTATGTTCTTTGCTCCACCTAAGTGCAAAGTAATGTTGCAAGATCGGTAGGAGCCCGTACCTGCACTCTTCCTTAGACGAACTGTCAGAATTAGTTGACAAGTTTGTTTATTTAGGTGGTTGTGTGGGTGCTGGCGGAAGTGTGATGACGAAAATCTCTAATCGTATAATGAAACCTAAGGCAGTACACTCCAACGACAGCCATCTCTAGCGCCATTGTGATGTTACTCCTAAGGCCAGTTTTTGGGTTTGCCATTCTTTGCTACACACAGTCTTGTTGTACGTATGTGCAAGCTGGTATCTCCAAGCTAACGGATATGTGGCAACTCTGTGTTTTCGATCATAACCGCCTCCATGGAATTGCTTGCATTCACTGGCATCATCATGTAACTAATTCTGTAGTCTGATGGGGGTATATTTGATTATGTTTGGGATTCTCTTTCAATAATTATCATCTCGGAACAGTAGATTTTGACAGATTGGACGTGTACTACGAATGTCTTGTTTCCTTTCTGAAAGTTACTTAAACCGGTGAACTCTCCTTCAATGCCTTTGGTTAGTATTTGTATCTGTTCTCATCATCCTGTTCCTTAATCATTCTGTCTGTTTTCCATATATTTTGAATTTGACTCCTCTCTTGGTGTGCCTCTATTGTACCAAGTGGGTGTTTAAATGAATGCATCGGAATAAGAATGCAGTTGTGATTACTCTGACCGAGTACTTTAAGGGTCAACAATTTCAACACTCTGTTCGAGTGTAGAACAGCAAGTTTTTTTTCCTTCACGTTCCCCAGTGGAACATAGGGCTTCAAGCTAGTGGCTTGAAGTTTCTGTAGCAGTGTTTATATTACAGGATGGGGTTTCTAGCCTCATGCCCAACCTTTCCTCTTCACCAGCATTATTTCTGGCTCAGCGAGGTTAAGGAGTGCTTCGGCCGGGGATCGAACCCCGGACCATGTGCATGGTCGGCGACCGTCCTAACCGCTATACCACCGATGCAGAATAGCAAGTTACTTTGGATTAAATAAGAATCTGTAAGAAATTTTAAGGGAATTTCTAATGGGGGAGTTATTGTGTATGTGTGTGTGTATATATGTGTTTCCGGAGTATATAGACACTAATTTATTGAAAATAAAGTTTTACCTTAAAACTTAGTTGTCGGAAGTCAGGAATAATGTCACTTAAAATATCTGAAGTTGGATTTCATTAAAACTTTGAGTGCCGAATGAATGGTGCTAGTTTGTTGCTCTGAAAGGCCTGAAAAACATCATCAAGTGTTCTTCTCAACTGAAGGTGACCAGCGCTGCCCTCTAAATAACCACGAAAAGTTTTTGGTGACCAATAAAATTTAATGAAGTCTTCATAAGATGAATGTATGTCAAAAAACAGTTTAAAAATAATAATAATTAATGATTCCAGTTGAAAATACCACCATCTGATCATTCATTTCGTCTTACACTAGCAAAGTTCTAACACAGTTCAACTGAAACATAAACGCTTCCAACCAACATGTAAAAGTACCACACTTAGACCAGGCCATCTAAGCGATTCACAATTACCACTTCTCTCTCAACAAAATATTACTTAATTTTATTAAAAATTACTTTTATTCAACGACAGAAAACCTTAACTCTTCCTCGATACAATGACATGACAACATGCTGTTTAAAGATAGTGTTCCTATCATATTTCTCTTTCTAAATCTAGCTGACTATTTTGATTTTTATCGGGTTTTATTTTTTTAAACCAAACATTGATTGTTAGCCACGTTTTTAAAGACAGTTGCAAAAACACATTTGTCACACTTGTTTGTTTAATTCAATTTTAAGTGCTGGCTTATTAATCAATGAAAATATTGCAGAAGTACTTCGACTCTTGGCACAAATAACTTATCAATAATTAATCATGTCTCATTTTTTTTAATACTTTGCACATTATTTTTTTAAAATTTTAATCGGTAAATTGAATAAATAGCAGTGTTTGTTAGCTTTTTCTTGCGTTATGTGCAAGTTATTTTTGACATTTTGTGAAACTGTGATGCATAGTTTTTTATACAAGTTACTTCGGATTCAATTTAATATATATATATATATATATACTAATGATTAAGAAAGTGCTAAAACTTTCCTAGTTTGATCACGGATGGATATCAGTAGGAGAACCGTTGAAAACTATGTAGTACTGGACACCTCTTTCGTCCTAGTTTAGGGCTCTTCAGCAGCTCGCACTCGCGACTCCGTGAGGGATTAAACCTAGGATCTTCAGACTACAAAGGCTAACCTCTTTTGCCATTTAGCCACTTGGGCTGGAATTTAATGACCCATGAATTCTAGCTTCTCTTGATTCCTGATTATTTTAGCTCGACTACCAGCCAATGTCATTGGTGAGTACGTGTTGAGTGGATCCCACTGGTCATAACTTCTCACTTGAACTCCAGGCCACTTCGTCCTGTAGTCAGTCATTAATGAGGATCAGATCAATTTTCAAGTTATTTTTGGTTTTCATAGGTTCTTTAATTGATATCAGTCTGTGATCAAACTTGAAACAAATTAAATCCCTGCAAACTCACTCTTGAAACTGTTTTCTCCCTTTGATGTTGCTGTGTTTTCTCAGCTAGTTTAGTTTAGTTGCGTGGCTTTCATAATTTTCCTTCCCCTCTGCATCTCTAGTACTAACTTCTATGTAAAGTGAGCTTTGGAAATTTTCCGTAGTTAAAAAATTCGCCTCTCATGATGATCGTGGCTGAGGATTGGTCACTCCCGTAGATTTTTTCGAGTATTTTCCTTAATTTTATTCAAACTGTTCTATAAATGACTGACTTTGTCTTATGGTTTTCGTACGGAGTCGTAGCCAGTCACATTCAACTTCACCAGGAGTGACAAATGTTTTATTTTTGGGTGGACATAAAAGCTATCGCGGCGTATTTTCGTGCATAGTTTAGGAAACATTACAATTGATATTCCAACTGTGCACCTTTAAAACAGTCAAACGTAACACCTGATTTGAATATAACATTCCTTTAAACATGTAATACAAAAGAAACTACCTGAGAAAATTCAAGTCGTAATTGACCGTCTCTGTTCAACCCATACAGTTATACTGAGATGAAAGCACGGCAAGTTTGATTTAAAATAATTAACCTGTCTCACTCATCAGGAAAACATCCACCTGGTACATAAAGAACCTTTTTGATCATTTATAAAGCATATTTGTGATTTATTCGATTTTCAACTAAAAAAAGACAATCTTTCTCAAGATTAGCGTTTTTCAGGTGGAATAAATTATTTAAAAACATTACTGTTCTGCAAAAATTTGATGCAGATAAAAATTACTGTTTTGGGGAGTAATAGTGCAAAACCACAAAATATCACGTATCAGACAGACAGACAGACGTACTTATTATAATGATGATGTCATGTGATGTCTTACTGGTATTTCTGTGTTATACTTGATAGTCATCCGTCAAAGTGAATTATGTGCATAACAGCATATAAACTCTAAATATTTATTAATTTTGTTGTATTATTATCGTTGCTGGATACGTCGGTGGTTTAGTGATAGAATGCTCGCCGACTAATGATGTGGTCTGAAGTTCGTTCCCCTGCCGATGCACTATGAAACTTTGCTCAAATGGTAGTAATCTCGGTAAAAATGTAAGGTTGGACTTAAGGCTTGACAACCCCATCCCTTAGAAATAAGAAAGATCACTGCTATCATAACTTCAGGCTTGAAGCTCTAATGTACCATTTGAAAAGTAAAGGAATGAATGAATTATCATTACTAGATATTATGTATTTGGCTCTTTTCACTGGGGTTCGAACCCAGGACCTTCCGGTTACAAGGCAAGCTCGTATACCATTTGGCCAGCCTATGAATTCTAACTTCTACCAATCGTGATTTAACGCGACCCCAACCAATGTCGTCGGTGGGACTTCCATACTCACTGGTCACGACTTCTCACTAGAACTCCAGGAAACTCAGTCCTGTAGCAAGTCACTAGCGAGCACCAGATTAATTTTCTATAGTTGGTTTGTAAGGATTAGTTTTGTTTTTACGAGTTGATCACGGATTGATATCCTTACAAACCAACTATAGAAAAAAAATATATGTATACACAGAATAATTGTAAGTCAAGTATCAATTTCTACTTTTGCCATCACTATCTCATTCATTTTTATCAGAATTTATTTTTGTTTCAGACAAGAAAGTGCTTCAATAATAAATTTCACTTTAAATTGAATTGTGATGAATGAATAGAGTCCACCTGCTGTAATCCTATATGAACATGTGCTATCTTCTGTTACATTCTTCCACTTTACCTTTATAAAAGAGTTATTTGCATGTTTGGTTTGATTTTTCCGCAAGAAATTAAATAATAATCGATAAATAAGTATAACGTTATGAATTTTTTAAATAGACATCTTGGTATTTATTTGTCTGCAGCACAAACAATGTACTTAAATATTTTTGTTTGATTTTTTAAAACTCATTTTAGTTCCGTAAGAAACAACTCATATTTGCAAAATCACCTATTCATGCTTGGGGTCTCATCGCTTTAGAGCCTATAGCTGCAGAAGAAATGGTAATTGAATATGTTGGTCATGTGATTCGTAAAAGTGTAGCTGAATTGCGCGAACGTCAGTATGAAGCTAAAGGAATTGGTGGTTCTTATCTTTTCCGGATTGATGATGATTTTGTGATCGACGCCACCATGTGTGGTAATAATGCTCGTTTTATCAACCACAGTTGTCAGGTATGCTCAAATTTTAAACTTTTATGCATATATTCTAAGATTAAAAATAAATATAAACGTTGTATTTAATAATTTAGTTTGTATGGTACCGTTTTCGTAAATCAGAATTTCCAGACTGAATTTAGTGGACATCATTTCAATTTAAAAATCTTTTTGTTTGAAATCCAACTCCTTCATACCTCACATGTTTTATTACACTAGAAGACTTTTTCATCTGAAAATCCTAAGTACTATACTCATTCATTCGTTAGGCAAATTGCCTCATAGATTCCTTTTGACGAATATACGACCTCTATATGTGTTATTAAGTTTTCCTCGGTTTACCTTTATTTTTTAATGTTTGTTATCATATCAAATTTGCAGTTATTACTTTTCGTCTGCTTACAGTTTGGGTTCGAATTCGATGCCGACTAGGAACGTAAGTATTGTTATTATGTGTTGTGAGTGAAAAATACGACTTCTGCGAAATATCTCCATTACACTCGGTCCTCTGACATCACTTGCAGCTGGCTTCCCGACTGATGACAAGCTTTGATTTCCTCGGTACATGGTCTTTTCTGTGTTACTCTGTGTCACTCCCAACTTGTCGCTTCTGACTGGCGTTCCACTCGAGGGCCTGGTATGTGACGTCACTTGGATGTCTTATCAGCGTATGTCTGATTTATCTCCATTTCGTTTTGGACATTTGCTGGACTTATTTGTTCTGACTGACCATGTAATCTTCAGCATAGAGCCAAGATAATTGTTGATGATACTCTGCAGCCTGCTGGTGACGCACCAAGTATGTGGACCATATAAAAACACTGACTTGACATTGGTGTTAAAAATTGATATTCTGTTCTTTGTACGCTTGTCTTTCCTAACGTTCTTCACCCTTCTTCGGCCAATCTTTTCGTTGCTCATCTCTACATTGGTTCATCTTTTACTTCACCATTCTCTCTTCTATAAGGGGTGTGTAGTAAGCCATTCCTTGTCTTGCCCATTCTTGTCTAAGATATAGGTTTCCCTCCACTTCGCTTTCACAGAGTTCAAGAGTTATTCGACGTAGGTTTTCTTGATGATATTGCTTAATGTCTCCGAATTTCTCCTGATGACTACATGGAAGGTGTCCTTTGTAGCTTTATCGTTCTCTTTTTGAGCGTTCAACTTAAATTGTGGTAGCTGTCAAGATTATTTACGAGCTTTCATCTTGACATCTCACTAGATGATGATCTCAACCCACATCTACTCTTCTCAATTTCGTGTTTAGCAGGCCGCTTTTTCTCCTACTTCAGATTGAAATGAAGATATCTGATTCTCAGTGTATCCATCTCGTGAAGCCTGTGTCGTCTTGTATGTATCCCTGTGCTTTTACAAACTGCCTCTAAATCATTAAGTTATTCAACGTGCGGGAGTGTGCGAAGAGTTCTCCGTTTTCATTCATTTTACTGAGCTCCTCTTGACCCATGATTATAGTATGGTAACAACACTTTCATTCAAAACAATATGTCTGTATACAGTACAGAACTTTCAGTTCATATTGATGAATGTAGTGTGTGTTCCCAGTCTGCTTGAATTCATATAACCCATATCTAGCTGAGTTCTCGTCCATTACCGTTTGTAGTTGTCTGTGGAAGTCTTCCTTCTCCTCTTGCTCTGAGTTATTTGCAGATGCGTAGCACTTTATAACAGTAACTTGTCTACCTTTTTAGTTTAAATGTTACTGTCATGATCCTTGATGAGATTGCTTCCCACTGCATGAGAGTCTTTTATATTATTGGTGACACCATGATAGCCACACCCTCGGTATATCGATGGTTGTCGTATCGATAACCGGTGCAGATTATTGACTTTCCTGTTAACAATTTGGAAAGTTCACATCTATTTCATCTGTTTCCACCTATTCTTAACACTTTTTTTAAACCGTATTTTCTCTGCCTAAACAGCCGTGCAATACTTGAACATATGTAAGTATTAAGGCAATAAACTTTGTGCTTCCTCAAATTCGTGAGGTTATGGTAAACTTGTCACAATTAATTGAATGGTGCAAACACTTATAAATCTAAAATAGTAATTGTCAAGTGCTTCTTTATTACTACAGTACAGCAATTGGATAATTGATTGGATTTAGTTTCACTTTAAATTTTTATTTTGATACCGTCATATTTCAGTTAGTTTTAGAACTAAATTAGTGATCAAAGTTTTCCACATTTTTGTAGGTGTGTTTTCATGGTTGTAAAGAAACCAGTGACTTTTTCGAATTTTCTGTATGAACATTGTTCTCTGTCGTCATATTTCAACAAAGCAGTAGGATATACTGTGCCTATAGATTACTTATTGTGTTACTCTTCAAATATTTTTCATACAATTGTTTTGTATTATTTTCAAGTATTACTTTGTACCTTGATCAGGTTTAAGATCAGATTATTTCTGTATCTTTGAAATCATTACTCGATGAAACCTGGATTTTATGATATTTATACCTAGTCTTAGGGGTGCAAGTGTGCATCTGTAGAGTTCAGTTGTAAAAAAACTCACCAACCATGGATGACGTCCGGATTTCAAAATTCCGACTGACGCTCTCCTAAATCTTGCTAACCTGGGAGTAGTAAGCCCCATGAAGAGGGAAGGTTTGTGTGTGTGAGGCTAGCAAACCTACCACGTAAAAAAAAGAAAACACCATTTGCTGCTGAAACGTCAAAGCTCTAAGCTTGAAGCCTTATGTTCCATTCGGAATGCAAAGGAATAAAGTTCTAAAAAATAATAAAGTATGTAAACTACTTGGATGTATTTAAGTTAAGCAATGTAATGCTTATTTTTGTACGACTTGGTGTTTCCGTATTATTAAATTACCTAAGACATTTTTCTAATTTCATTGAGAACGTCTACTTGTTGGAAATTCAAACGAAGTGTTGCCTTTTAGGCTACGCTGACTGATAGAATCAGCTTTACACGACATTTTATAAAGTATGTGATTTGAAAATCAACATAGAGAGAGAGTTACATACAAGAAGGTGAATTCTCCGGTTGATCAAATGTGGTCGTATGGCTTATTGGCGTTAAGCACTGTACTGGGTTTTCAGTCGGTGGGTCATGTGTTTGAGCCTGGGAAACTGGATAGTATCGTCAACTCTCATACGATAAAGTATGGTTCTTAGCCTGGTGCATGGGAAATCTGTTTCGGGTTATTGAGGTGTTAAATAAACTTAGCATTATATGTTTTTGAAAATTTATGTAAAGCCAATTGTAGAGTACATCTTTCAAGTCCAAAGATGACTTATTTATGTGCTTGCAACAATGTTGTAGCAGCTCTTTCATCAATTTTTCTTTCGAAGCGAACATTAAAAGCATCCTCACCAACTCTTGGACACGTATAATATTTAATTATAGTGTAACGGTAGAAGATAAGAGTGTAATAACAGAAGGCCAAGCACGGGAGCCGAGGCATATTTCATTTATCAAACCGCTGTTTATATATCTACAGTTTATATTCGTTAACCAATCACTGAGCCTGTGATTTCGGTTTAAGTCAAACGACATGAAATAGAATGTTCCAATAGATATATCGTATTCTTTTGCTAATGCAGTCTTGAACTATTGGAATAACATTCCGACTCTAGCACCGAATAGAATATTCAAATAGATATATATCGTATTCTTTTGCTAGTATCTAATTGAACTGTGGGAATATGTGAGAAAAATATTCCGTTGCAACACATTATCTGTATCACGCCACCACTTCTAAGGTAAAATGCATCATATTTATACACTTCTAACCGCATTAAAAGTCTGCTAGTTCAGTGGACAATAAACTGTTCTGATTGGCTGGCTATTGGTCGAAGGTTAAACAAAAGGACGAAAAGTTGTCCAATGAGATCATTTCTTAACCACAAGGTAAACTAAATCCAAATTTGAGGAATAAACACTCCTACCTCTGTTACCATTGTCTTAAAATGTTGATTTCTATTTTTGGTCGCTTCCAATCAATTTGCATTTATATTGTACACGCTACAATAGTTGAGCAAGTTTCTCAAAAGGTGTTTTGTTTGAATTCTGTTAGATGTCTTTTTTAGTAGTGACGTGTTCAACAATGACTTTCAGCGTTAAATATTGATTTGAAAGTATATAACATTTGTTGACGTCAGAATATGTATCTGTAGTGACTTTTGTTTTACTGAATTTCTATTCTCATTTTTTGTTTATTTATTATCTTTGAGGATTTACACACAATAATAATGATTTTTACATTATTGTTTATCCATTCTGTAATATCATTTTAGCCTAATTGTTACGCCAAAATAATAATGGTTGAAGGCAAGAAGAAGATTGTTATTTATTCAAAAAGAGATATTAATGTTATGGAAGAGATAACGTATGATTATAAGTTTCCTTATGAAGATGAAAAAATTCCTTGCCAATGTGGTTCATCAGCATGTCGTGGGACACTTAATTAAATGGTATCTTCGGTTAAACAATTTTATTTTAAACAAAAGCAAAAAATCAAAATCAGAATATGTATATATTTTATATTAATATATATAGCCTTGTAAGTAATTTTCTCTGTCTTGAAAATTTCCTTGTCCCTCTCTCTCTCGCTGACCAATAGTTTTCTTCCGTTTTATTCTTCGTCTTCCTCTTCTTCTTCTTCAATTCTTTGTACATATTTTCTATTCTTTCCTAAGTTTGTGCATAGTAATTGTGCACCGTTTTCTTTTTTCTTTCTAAAATGCCTTCAGCCTTATTTTTATTGTAATAAATTTATGTACCAGATTTGTTTATAAAAGATTAATTTTTCCCCCCACCCCCCAAAAGTTTTAGGCAGCTTTGTTATGCCATTGTTATTATATTTATTCGTTCTTTTTTTATAAGGCTGTGTTCTTTCATAATGCTCCGTTACTTGATATTATTTTTTGTTTCCTGTCCGTTGGGTTGTTTCAGGAATTTAATGCATGCATATGTCTAATTGTCTGGTGATAATATCCGGACTTTGTAAAAAATTAAATATGTATTTTGAATGCTAAGCATTTCCCTAGTTATTTAAATTATGTAATTGAGTTGTTATTCCAATAAGAAGTAAGGGATTGGCGTTCATTATTAATGCAGTTATTGCTCTGCCAGTTTTCCCTATTGTTTTGGCCTAGAGAGAGGAGGGGGGAGCAGATGACTGTTAATTCTATGTCTGCTTATTTAATAGGTTACATGGTGAAATTGTGTCGTTTACTGGATGACGTTTTGGGCATAGTTTACTGTCCATAGTCCCATCAAATGCAACTTCATGAATTCGGAAGTTGTTTTGAAAAAAAATTTGTTCTAGTTCTTCTCTTTCGTTATTCGTATGTGTAGTGGAATTTTCCAAATATCCGGGGAAAGTGATATCTATTTCTTATTGCAATGAAAGTGTTTCCGGTTGTGACTTCGTTATCAGATCTTTTGGTGTCTATTTCTCTTTCAACATTTCCAGGAAGCATTCTGTCTTATAACTTTATATAAGGAGGTAACAAGTGATTACTGATTCACAGGTAATGCTGCCGAAATCTAAAAATCCCCAATATACATTTAGCAAAGACAAACAAATTGAGTGGAGAGATATATTCCTATTCAGTTAGTTCCGAATCATGGGCTCGACGCTAATATATAGTTTTCTCGCATCCAAATTGTACTAATCATGTGGTTATTTTAGTCTGTAAGAGTTGTCAGTTTTAGGCATAAGGGGGAGAAGTGGTGAAAATAAGCGATTCAAAGTCAGTCATCAAAAAAATTAACTAATAGCTGTTAATAACAAGATATCTAAGTTTTGAAGCGGGGGTGAAAATAATTATGAAATTCAAGATCAGTTAGTCTGTAAGGTTTGGCACTCGTGATTCAGCGGCGGAGCGCTCGCCAACCACGCAAGTGATACGGGGTTCGATCCCCGGCCGACGTACTTCTAAACCCTACTTAGCTGGTAGTAAGTCAGATAAAGAAAGGATGTTGGGTGTGAGGCTAGTACCCCCACCCTGTTAAAACAAAACCGCTGCTACTGGAACTTCAAAGCTGAAGCTTGAAGCCCTATGTTCCACTCGGAACGAAAAGGAGTAAATTAATAAATAGAAGATAATTTGTAGGGGTAAGCAACATGTTATTGTGTAATCAAGAAATTTGGAAAATAATGGTGACAAAAGGTGGTGGGACGACTCAGCAGGATTACGTAAGATTCAAAGGAGTCAATAGAAAAAGTCAAAAGAGAGTAGCAAGGGGCGGGTAAAATCGTTTGTAAAAATTAATATATTAATCTAGTTGACCAATGACAAAGAGAGGAGCTGTACCGATTTCTTTTGAACACAGAGATTTGGCTTGTTCAAATGTATTCCGATTGCATCTGTTGTAAGTAAAAGTCGTACTCGTAAACTATGCGAAAGGCAGGGTGAAATACGATAAATAACTTTGTTAGAGTCAACTTGATGTCCAGTATCAATAAGATGAGCCAGTGTTGAGCTGCGTATAGCTTTTGAAATATTTGATTTTTGTAATCCCTCGTTTAACGGTTGGTCTGTCGCCTTTGAATTTCTGATGATGCCTAACAATGTAATTTTTTCGGGAAACCTATTACTTACGATTTTCACACAAAGCACCACGATGAAATTTACTATACCGTATATCATGTTTAGTCATCATTTGATTTCCAAAATCACTCATAACGCATCGCTAGTCAACAATATCACAGTGTTAAAACTCCAGTTGAAGTAGATGAAATTTATGCTTACATGCAATAGGATTGTTCAAGTGCAGTGCAAAAGTTTTCGACATAAAGTACATTGAGTCTAATCAGTCATATCACGTATCACACAAATGTGACAGCATGTATTTAGCTTATCCACTTAAAAATGTCATAAATATAGCTCTTTGGAAGTGCACATTAATCGATACATCTGATTATTTGAAAGTGTAAGCATTAAAGAAGTTTTTCTCAATGGTTATCATTGTAATCCCTGCTAGTCTGAACACATTTTTTTCCTTTACATTGTGGTTTGTGCAATTTGGAAGTGAGCGTTTAAGCAGTGTATCATGATAGTTCAGCAAGAATGAAATAAACTAGCAGTTGCTAAACTGAAGTTTCTAAATAGAGAGAGGCGAAATATTGATTAGTGATCGAGAAAGCGAAATGACGCATCAGTATTTGATTTAAAGCGTACTCTTCGAAAGAACAGACACCACAGTCAAGCCCTTGGTTGCTGAAGTTGAATGAATCTTCGCACTCATGTTTTATGTGCACTTTTACTGTGTTATTCATTGCAAAAGCTTACAGATAAACTTAAGCTCAATCTGTTCTTGTTACCATTAGTTTTTAATTTAATGTGTGAGTTTACGTGTTTTTTAGCGTTTTGAGCTCCAAGTTCTGTCATGTTTAGAATGAAGTCGTTGTTTTCTCGCATCACGGTAATTCGATTTTACTCTAAGATTGTTGCTGTCATCCTTCTCTGTAGTAACACCTGTTTTTTTCTCCTGGAATAATCACTGTCAGAAGGCGTCGGGAGAAGATTTATGTGTTTGTTCCCAGTATACTACTATTTTATTTATTTATTATTCCCTTGAGTTACGAGTGGAACATTGGGCTTCAACAACACATCTCCCCTTTCTTCTATTTTCTGCCATCCTCTTTAGCTTGGTCCACGATTGCCCACAATCTCTCATCTCCTCCGTGTCACCCTCGCACCGATGACCCACTCGTGGCTTCTCATTCGGATTCCACTCAAGCAGTAGCCTGGCGCGATGTCATTCGAAGGCCTCCTCAACGTATGCCCGATCCATCTCTATTTTCCCCTACACATTTAATGAGTGACCGCGGTTAGTTGGTTTGTTGCCAGGGGTTCTGCTTGGTAATCCTTCCTGGCAGTTTGATCTTCAGTATGGAGTTGGAGAAGGCAGATGTTGATGAACGTCTGCAACCTGTTGGAAATGCACATCATGATGCTCCATGTTTCTGACCCATATATAAGTGACTTGATATTGGAAATCCCAATTCCGTTCTTTGTGGAGAGTGCAGAAGATTTACCAACTGGCTTCAGGTTGATGAAGGTGTATCTTGCCCTTCAGATTCTGGATGATTTTGACATCTTCTATTCCGTCTGTAGTTGAAACTATGCTTTCTAGATAAGTGAAGGAGGCAACCTCTGTTAAATCTCTCCAGTTGATGGTGACTGGTGATAGCTGTTGTTGTTGGTTGGTTGGTTATCTTCACCACCTCTGTCTTCCCTATGTTCACCTTGAAACCTGTCTTCGCTGCTTCTTCAGCCAATTTTTTGGTTTCTGTCTGCAAGTCTTCGAGTTTTGTGACATTAGACATATATCATGTGCGAAATCAAGATCTTCTAGAGTCTTCTTATTGGTTCAACGTATTCCTGTCTTATCACTCCCTGTGCACAGTCTGACACACAATCCAGTCCACCACAACTAAGAATAGCATCGGTGATAATAAGCTGCCTTGTCTTACTCCTGTATTCCCCTCAAATGCTTCTCTAAGTTTGCCGATGTGGATCATCTGACATGTGGCACTGTCATAAAGCCAACTTGTGAACGAGGTTGATACAGATTTCGGCACTGCATGGCGTAGAGTTGAAATAGTTTCTGAATAACTTCTCGGTCAGCGCTATCTGCTGAAGGCCTTTTCGAAGTCGATGAAGTTAATGTCGAGGTTTGACTGTCATTCTATGCTTTTTCGATGGTGATGCGCAGATTTGAGATTTGGTGAGCTCATGATTCGCTTTTGCTGAATCCAGCTTGTTCCGGGCGGATTTCTGCATCTAAAGTACCTTTTATTCTTCTCAGAATGACGCGACTTAGTACTTTGCTTGGCGTGTATAAGAGAATTATTTCACGCCAGTTCTTGCAGAGGCCTAACTAGCTCGCTCTTCTTTGGTAGTCTGACAAAGTATCTAGCCTTTCTTTCAACTGATAGGCACTTTTCCTTCCTCCCAAACCTTCTGTAAAAATGGCGTGAGTACATCTGCCACAGTCTCTGAGTTTGTTTTCATGAGAGTTCTGCGTAGTCCTGCTACCTTCTCCGACTTCAGTAGTTTGGTTGCAGTTTAGGGGACTTTCTAGTGAGTTCAGTAACAGAACACGTATTTGAATAAAGACCCAAGTTAATGAAATTTTAGTGTAACAGTATATTATAAGAAATACTGTAATAAGTTATATAAATTATCCGGTTACTTGGTTATACAGTGAAAGTCCGCTGCTACAAATTGTTATTATAGTCCACAATAGTGTTCACTGCTTGAGTCGTTTCTACTGGTAGAAGCTGGGCACTGGTTGTAGAATAGTCTTCGAATAAAGATAAGTGTTTCCTGAAAATTCCAAAGTATGCGACACGGTTAGTAGTAAAACGAGTAGACAGTATAGACTGGTAAGAAGGCAAAGCGGCGAGCGGCACACTGTATTTTAGTTTGTACTCCGCAGTTATGTTTCTGATTTC